CTTCAAGATGAAAATATTTCTAAAATTGGGATCTCCACTCTCTATGTTGATTTAAACAGGATAAATATATTTAAAATACAAGACATGCTGTTAACTGTTGGAAGGCATGTCAAACATCACCATCAATGAATCCCCTGATGAGAAAAAATGAACGACAGGAGATTACAAAGCTAATGCCCATGGATCAAGTAAGGTCAAGGGAGCTTGAGACAGCAGGATTAGAGAGGTGGGATCTTTAATGCACTTCCCCCAAGCACTAATGGAATAATCATGGCTCCTTCTCAAATTAAATGCTACCCCATGTTGAAATATTAATGTGTATGACAGTCTAAGTAATTTTACCTTCTGCTCACTGAGTAAAAACTTAAAATAGCATTATGCTTTTGCAAAGAGTAAATTGTGTCCCAATAAATTGGATGGCATAAAATCCTCAAATGCCACCAAAAAATCATGAGCATAACTATCAGTCCTTCCAGGCAAGGCCAACTGAAGAATATAACCCAGGGCTGAGTGACCAATGGGATCACCAGAGGAAACTCCTCCTCAAGGACCATGTGCCAAAAAACACGTTAAGCCCTGAAATTCTGGCATTCTCTTTAGCATTTCATGGCACAAACTAATGCATAAAATTTTCCTGGTGTTTCCCTTTGGTTTGAGGTTGTAAAGTTTGTGTTTTGGTTTATTTTCTTTTGGATAAAATGTTTGCTAATTACAAAAAAACAAAGATTGCCAGGTCATTCTTCAATTTCCAGTGTTTTCAGCTCTCAAGATTGGTTTTTCTCTCCAGTGTCAAGGCAGAACCTCACCTTCCAGTATCTGAAGGAGCCTGCAGGGAAGCCAGAGGAACACCCTTTGTCAGGAATTGCAGTGACAAGAAAAGGAGTCATGGGTACAAATTGGAAGAGGGGAAATTTAGGTTAGGATGTTAGGAAGAAATCTTTTACTGTGGTAGTAAGAGACTGGAACAGGTGTCTCAGGGAGGTTGTGGATGATCCCAGCCTGGCAGTGTTCAAGTGCAGTTTGGGTAAAAGCTCACCTGAAGCTGAAATACCAACCAAGGCAATATGTCCTCTCTTGTCCAGGCCCTGGAACTCCTCCACAGGCACAGGAGAATCCATTCCATTTAAAAAAAAAAAAAAAAAAAAAAAACCAAAACGGGCTCCATTAAAAAAAGTCCAGATTTTTCTGTTGCTACTTTCTAGTGACTTATTACTGACTCCAGAAAACAAAAAGTATGATAAAACTAAGTATACAAAGTATAAATAAACCCCAGAGAGATACACAATGAATAAACAGAACTAGTAACATAGTATTTCCTCTACAGACTGCAGTTAATTTTATTGTAGCAGTAAAACAGACCAAATTCTTATTTCAAAGGATAAAAAAGATTTTTTTTTGGGCATCTACATTAAAATAAAACCATTACATTGATAACCAAAATATGTTCACTTACAAACCAACCACAGCATGTAATGCTCTGGTAATGATAATAATCATTATTATTATTTGTGCACATCATTACCACAATCTTAGAGCTCAACTGCAGCTTTGCCAAAAATCTCTACCCTGAATGCTGAAAAGCTCTTCATACTGCAAAAACCCCTCAAATCTACCCCTGACATGGGTAAAAATACAGCAGCACAAAGGCTGTGGTCTACCAAGAAATACTCCAGGCAGTGATGAGTGAGTGTGTTACACTGGTAGGTACTTGCCAGGCCAGGTGGAGTGAGCTCCATTAACTCATGCCTTCAACAAAATGCAACTCAGAGAGAAAACCCTTCCTTGTCATCAACATGTGGGAAATATCTGCATATTGACATGCTAAAGGTCTGGTTGCTGCTGGAAGCCCTGCCCTGCACACACTGCTGTGCTAATTATCCAGGACAGAATTGAGAGGAAGTAAACAGGAAAATATTCAAAATTCTCTTTTAGCTAAAGGGGGAAAATAACAAACATGCAGTCTGTTACATACCACTTGAGGAAAATTGAATTTGGGCAAAGAACATCTACACAGTCCCATTTATGAGCTAAAGAGTGGGGGTTGTCACAACCTAGGAATAAACTGCTCAATGTTGCTTTATTACCATATACCCATCTTCTTGCTACTAATTTGAGAAAGTTCCATCAGATTTAAAAAAAAAAAAAAAAAAAAAAGTTATTGTGCCCAGAGATGCATTAGGATCATTTCTGGCACAATGCTTTTAAGCACTTTTTACTGGTGTAAGTAATGAAGTGCACATTACAAATGAATCACAATAAACTACACTAAAAAGATAAAGGAAAAGAGGGTAGACTTTATATGCTAAAGTATTTAAACATCTTGTCTTATCCTGAACACCATTGCCTGGGCTGAAGAAGAGCATCATGACAGAATTCATTATTGCTTCCTTTCAGTGCACAGTTACCAGGCAGCAAGAAGAGTGGAAGGTGAAAAAAAAATATTGAAGAAATTAATACAACTTTACAGCACTTGAAAATAAATAGACACCCGATACCATAAGCTCTAATACTAGAAACCCACAGCTACTGAAATGTTTATGGTTATGTGTAATGTAAAATAAGTGACCACAAATGTTAAAAGCAAAGTAATTAAACTGGAGAAAGAACTTGCACTTTTATTCACAACAAAATTCAGTGTAGCCATCTCCACACTTTAACTCATCCTGAAAGATGACTTCTGTAAATATTTTGTTTTCTCCTGGAGGTTTTGCAATATTCTGCAACTATGTCAGACTAAGTAAAAGACATAGTTATGCTAGGCATCTTTCTCCTATCCCTTCCTTTTGGTTTTCTTTTTTCAGATTACTGCAGTTTGGACTATGAGTGAGCAGAGAGACAGAACTTTCTAAATCTGTTTCAAAGTATTATGTTAAATGTATTTAACTCCTATAAAAGGAGTATGAAATCATTCTGCAACTTCAAAGAGTTTTAAAAGTACCAAGTCATTATTAACCTTTAACTGATGAATACAATAGCATTAAGATGTATTTTGAATTTGGTCTCCTTTAAACCAAGAAATTTAAAATCATCACTCCCTAAAGTATGGCATTTGGACTGTCCACAATTAATTGCTGCCTACCTTATCTCAGACTCAGAACTTAGTCCTAGATATTTCTTAGAGATTCATTCTCTTACTACTACATACTACCAGCAGTAATACATTAGGCTAGTGGAAAATGCTCCAAACTACTTAGTGAAACTACATGATGGTAAAAAATAATCCCTGAAATTAAGTTAAAACTTGTTTCAGATTTTCTTATACTCCATTAGCAAGCATTGCCCTGGAAGTGAAATCTCGGGCATGGTAGAATGACAAGCTTTGTTCCAGGCAATCTCAGACTTCTATATTCAGACTAGGTAAGGGAAAAAACGATCACAAAGGTGAGACCAGCAGTAACCCGAGGCAAGGTTAGCTACCACTTCTCCAACAACATCTTCTTGATCCTGACAGAGGGAACTGACACCAGCAAAGGGCTGGAACTTGAGCTACATGACAGAGTGGTGAACATCCCAGCAGCACACTCGGATTGACCCGATGGCTTCTGTCACTGCCTCGGAGCAATGACATTCCCCTCGGCAGGCAACCTTGCTCAAGACTGACTAGCGGGGGTAGGACACACAAAGTGCTGTGTTTTGGAAATTGGTCTGTCAAGCCCTTGGTCTGCAGCCAAAGCTCAGGCTGGAACACAGTACAAAGCCAGTGCAAGTGACTGACACCAACACGCGACAGCGACAGGCACGACAAAACCCCCGACAGAACGAGAGGAGGATCTGAGAGCTGCTCCCCAGGACCCGAGCGAAAGGAGCTGCTGGTGCAGCCTTGCTCCACAGGGGGAAGTATCCGTGTCACCGAAACTGTCAGCGCTAATTAGAGCCCTGCGGGCATCCTCAGGGATTGCGCAGACCGAGGAAAAAACTGCCTCTCACTCCTATGGGCTGCCCCTCAGTCACCAATCGGGCGAGATAAGGGAGAGGAATCGCGTGGGAAGCTTTTCATCTCTCCCGCCTGCGCTGCTCTGTGGCTGAGGGAAATCGCCCTGAGCAGCTGTGCTGCTGAGCAGTTTTCGTTTGCACAACCACTAAAGTCTCATCATGCCAAACCCTCCCTGAACCTTTCCAAGATGAAATCAGGCCAACCGACTCATGTCTTCTGGTAAGATTTTCTCCGGAATACTCATTCTGGGCAATCTCTGCAACCTTGTTACAATCACAAGTAACATAAAAATTAAAAAAGCAACATGGTGAATGGGTAGAGATATCCACCATTCATAAATTAAAAATATGCTTAAACTAACCTGTATTTTCATAGGTGAAAAGTATTAACCAACATCAAAATTTAAAGGAAAAGAGAATTTTAAAAAGCAATATGTGTAATCAGCAAACGAAATAATCAATTGTATTTAACTTGAGTAAGAGCTTGTGAAAAATGACAATTTAAGCACAGACATGTCATTTTATTGGTGTACATTAACTCCTGAGATATTTTTTTAAAAGAACAGCTACCTAAACACAAGGGCACCAGTCCTGCAAAACCCCACATCATGCTTGTCAGTCAAACACACTCAACTTTAATAATGACTCAACACTCAATGGCTTCAGCTGCATGCTTCAAATTAGGCATTCACCTTACAGGATGAGCGCTATGGAGAATATTTTAATAGCAAACACCTGTGCTGTGCCTCAACCACTCACTAACAGCTAAGAATTCTAACCGGTGAAACACTTAAATTCTGCTGAACACCTTACTGCTCCAAGCATTTTCACATAGCTGCACAGTCCACTTTTCCAAAACTGCATAGTGCCTCTTGTCACTTCTAGTGGTTTTAATACTAATAGTTTACAGATTTAAAGGACCAAAACTACATTCCGCAACACTGCATATGACGCCTGATGCTAAACCACCGTTAGGTGCTTTGTCTCCAGCCACCTGGAGACAAACTGTCCTCGGACTCTCTGATGGGACAAGACCACTACTTCGTCTAAGACTGCCTAACACCCACCTCGCCGCTCCTGGACGCGGACGACGAGCTCCCAGGTGGCCACCGCCTCCCTGTCCAGGGCCGCTCGCAGCGTCACCTCGCCGCTCTCTCGCTCCACGCTCACCGGCGACTCCTCGACGGGCGGCGACAGCAGCTCGAACCACGCGGAAGAGAAGCGCGCCGGGGCCAGGGTGGCCAGGCGGATGCCCGGCCGGGCGTTCTCGGGCAGGGCCAGTGCCAGGGGTGCGGCGGGCGGCAGCGCGGCCCGGCGGCGGCGGGGCGGCGGCGGCGGGAGGCGCTTGGGCTGCGGCAGCACCTCCAGCTCCAGGGGCTCGCTGAGTAGCGCGGGCCGGCCGCGGTCCCGCGCGTAGAGGCGCAGCGGGATGGGAGCGCGCAGGTGGAGCAGGGAGCTCACCAGCACCACGCGTCCGCTGCGCGGCACCACGAAGAAGTGCGCGCTGCGCGGGAGGGCGAAGTAGCGCAGCTCCGCGTTGGCGCCCGCGTCCGCGTCCTCGGCCCGCGCCTGCCACACCTGTGACTTGAGCGCCAGCGTCTCCTCCACGCGGAGCTGCGCGGAGCCGGGCCCCACGAAGCGCGGCGCGTTGTCGTTGTCGTCCAGGACGCGCACGGTGAGCGCGGCCAGCTCCGCGGGCGCGGCGCCCTGGGGCGCGCAGCGCTTGCAGCACAGCCCCAGGCGGAGCGAGTACAGCGCCCGCGCCTCGCGGTCCAGCGGGCGGCGGGTGCGCAGCCACACGCGGGCCGTGCGCGCGTCCAGCGACACCTGGAAGTGCGAGTGTCCCTCGCCCAGCAGCTGCAGGTGCCAGCGGCGCCCCTGCACCTTGGCGCACCAGGGCTCGGGCCCCAGCCGCGTCAGGGGGATGCTGAGCCCGCGCACCCGCGTGCCCGCCGGCCGGTTCTCCGCGACGTGCCCGTCGAACGAGGGTGTCCTGCGCGGGGCGGCGCGGGCGGCGGCCAGAGCCCAGCACAGCAGCAGGCAGCCGGCGGCGCGCCGGGCTCCGCGCCGCGCTCCGCGGGGGCCCATGCCGGCTGCGAGCGGCGGCGGCTGCGGGCGCTCCCCGCGCTGCCCGGCCCTGCCCGCCGCTCCCCGCAGTGGGCGGGCGGGGAGGGGCCGGGGCACGCTGGGCCGCCCCCGCCCTGCCTTCCCCCGGTCCGAGAGCACGCGAAGCGAACCGTCCCGTGCGCCTGCTGTAGGATGTCCCCTCTGGCGAACTGCCCAAATGATCCCGCTGTTGTAACAACCTACCCCTCTCTTTTCCTCCTCCGGCAGCTGAGTTCTTCCTCTACGCGCCGCGGGCATCGGTGCACAGGTGATGTCCTGCAGTCTGTCACATGTCAAGCAGGTTCTCCCAGCACTCCGGTGTCCCCTGAAAACATTTAGTTGTTGATTTCTAGGCAGCAACCTATTCTAAAATGCCAGTTTTGCTCTCAGCTTATACTTGAGCGCTGTCACTGACCTAAAGTCACATCTTTAGTCACAATTAATCAGCTCCCTTATATCTCCCGATTTGTGAAGGTAAAAAAATTCTTGATGAAATGTAGCTTGACTAAAGAATGTTTCTGGTGATAACCAGAGAGAAATATAACCCAACATTTATTTGCCTGTTTGGATTTTTGGAGTAAAACTAAAAACCCAATAAAACTAAATTTCACCATGTTATGACTACATAAATCAGGGATGTTGTAGAAAAAGTTACTAGATTATGCAATTCCTCTTCAAAACAGATCAGTGCTTTCAAGAATAAAGTCCAAAACAATGTAAAATGGGAATTGGCTGTGTTTATGTAGTACATGAATCATTTAAGATTAAGAAGCATTCTGAGATTAAAGAACAGCAAAATAATAAAAGATACTCTATTGGTCACATTACTCAAATTTCATGAGACTGAATAATGTTTACATTTCTCATAAAACAGTGCATTTCCCTTATGTACACCACCCAAGACTGTGAAAAAGTTCATAGACTCAAAATTGTGCTTCCCTATAAGCCTTTTGGAGAAACTGGTTGTCTTTTTGGGGAATTGGCAGTCCAGGATCAAGTAGGAAGCTTGTGGGAGACTCAGAATGAAAAATCCAAGTGCTCAACAGGAAATGACCTTCTCCATTTCATCCTGCAAGCAATTAAGGAGAAACAAATCATCAGCTTCACACAATCTCTCCATTTATGCCTCACATTGAAATGTCTCTATAAAAGCACCCTCCTATATGGGATGTTATCTTCAGTGCTTTTGTGGGGGCTCTTTTTTTGGCCTTAAAATAGAAAATTTTACACTTGTGGATGTGTAAAGAGCAAAGGGCAATAAAGAATGGAATAGGAAGAGCACATAATTTGGTCACAAAGATTTACATGGCTTCAAGATAAAAGGATTTTTCCAAGAGTTTCCTAACTAGTAGGATACTACAAGGAATCTACAATTAGTATTTCATCAAATTTTGATCAAAACATTTTGTGAGAGCATTTTAGTGAGTTCTGTTTTCTACATCCACTAGGATTTACCTCTGTAAAAACATACCAGGAACAGTACTATATTTTGCAAGGTCTTTCTCAACAGATAAGTAATTTAAACACATATGTGGTTTTAACAGACTAAAAGCGTGCCTCATTCATGATTTCAAATGCAGAACTCAACCTACATTATCCTAATCAGCATGTAGACAGGAAACTGGGAGATTGCACAAGGGTTTTTTAGAAAAAAAAATAGAGACCTTACACCATTGTTTATTAAAAAAATAAAACTGTTGTTTTATAGTTCACTGCCCTGTGACAATCATAGAGAAATACTTGAGACTCTCTAATCCTATTACCAACTCTGCAAATCAGTGGGAATCTGAATTGGTGCCCTGGATATCATACAGTCAGAATCCTTCTGACTTCAGCCCACCTCCAGAAATCCTGATCACAGTGGCTTTACAGTACAAGCTCCTCAGGTCTTCTACTTCACAAGTTTGTTGAGTTCTAGAATATAATAAATTTTACACATCATTTGCTTCCTTTTCCTGATTGTTGAACAGCACTTTTTGCAGTCCCATCAGGGTACTCTGAATGTTCTAGACCATCCTCCCATTTACAAAAACTTTTATTTCTGTTACCTCTAAATTTGGATTTGTCAAGATACATCAGTTCTTGCATTAAAGCAAGAAATTTTTTGGGGTCCTGCCTTGAATTTCATGTATGCAACTTTTATTACTGTAACTTAAAATTTCCCTCTTTTCTCTCTGTAAAATCCAGGATTTACAACCCTCAGGGTACACCTACATACCTAAGAGTAAATCTCCTGCCCAGGCTCACAGGCTGTACAGATTCTTGCAAGCCTAGAGTGCAGGTGAGCATCGTTTCCAGAGATTTCACATGACCACAGATCTCTCCTGGTCACACACAGCATCAGGCTAAACCAACCTGCTGGTTCCTGAGGTTCATCACCTGTGACCAGGTGATGGCAAGGCCAAGACAAGATCATAATCTCTGTCAATGTTATGAATTCATGTTTGGAAATTACTGAATTGTAACAGTCTGTAGCTTAGTGATTTACATAAAAACATATTTTTTTTACAGAAACATGATGACAAGCATTTGATGCAGAATTTTCAGTTTACAAATCAGAATTCCTCTGAAATATGAGCAGGAAACATTCTGAGGAAAATCTTGCCTTAACCTTATGGAACTGCAGTGTCAATATTGAGCTGCAGAGAAGAAAAAGACATTCTTCCTGGTTTACAAATACCTTGTAGCTGAAGAGCAGGATGGCTTTGGGAAAAGTGGGACAATCAACTTTGCTTTTGATCAAAAGGCAAATACGCCTGAAGCAGTGAGTGCTCTTGACTGCCACATACTCAATAGCTGGCTTTCCAGGAGAAGAAAGGGGCTGAAAGTCCCCTAAGGTCTTTTACTATAAATAACTGTAAATATATAATCATAACAGAATTAATTGACCCCTCTGGAGCAAGATGTTGTGTGTGTGTCACCAGGTGCACCTGCCAGACATTCCTCTCAAGCACAACTTTAAACCTTCAGGAAGGGCTCTGCTCTGCTGCATATCCAGCCAAAGGAAGCTCTTCCCACACTATTTACTCCCCAGTCAGGATTCTGCAAGTGTCTTGGCAAGCAGCTCTGCAGGATCCAGCCCAGAGTGACACAACAGCCCCCATGTGATTTGAGATGGTTTGTGCATTGCCACTTTTTATAACAACACTTGTAGCTCCATTTTCTCAAATGCAAGTACAAGTGATAATCCTTTCCTGTATAATTTTGCAAATTAAACCTAAATTATTCAGAAGTACAGCTGTTGTTGTGTAATACTTGCTAGTTCTTTATGCAGCTTTCTCTCATAAGTCACAAATTTTTCTTGGAATCTAGTGCTGAAATGAGTGCAAGAAGCACCTTCTGTCATGCTAAAAGCAGAATTCTTCCTCCAAAAGGGAAAAGCTAGTGACTTTTTCAGTATCTTTCATTATTTTATAACATTATTTTATAACATTATTTTATTATTTTCCAGTTTAGTTCAACCAGCTGGAAGACCCTTTCTGCTGTTAAGCATGGTGTGCTATATACAAGGCCAAGGTTAGAGCAAATGTTTTAATTACAATAATGTACTCAAATGGACATACGTATGCAGCTGGAAACACCTCCTGCATGACTTATAATCAAATTAAATCAGCTATACCACCACATCAAAAAGGGATACCTGAGGTGTGTTGAAATCAGACAAGACAGTCTCAATCGATTGTCACTCTAATCGCACTCTAAAGGTGTACTCTGTTTTCCCTGGCTGGTGCCTTACTGCTTACCAGTAGAAACACATCATTAATAATGTCACCAAACAGTTTGAAAACCTTTACAGAAAAGCTTTTCTTAAGCCCCTAAGTCTTTACATGATAAAGTTTTTTTTTTACTTGTGACTTACACGGAAAAAATATTTTTTTAAAAATTTTAAAAATAATTCTTTTTGCATTACTTTATCCTGTTCTCTAAATGCTCCTTTTTGTCAAGACTGTGTTCCATCCCCATACTGCCTTAATAAAATGTCTGTGAGAAGCAGACTGCTGTTTTCACATTCAATACATAAAATACAACAAATACATATGCCAAACACTAAACCTTAGTAAATCTTGTTCCAATTTTTTTCAATTATTTGTATCTTGCAATAAACATAAAGAACTCATTCATTCTTGCTTGTCTTTCTTATTCACAAGTGTAATTCTCCATAACTTCAGTATCTTTTGTTTTGGTCACCATGTTTCTCTATGTGTGAAAGCCAAATGATTTTTGACTCAGCAGAACAAATCAGAAGAACAAATTATATTGTCAGAATGTGCAGATTTGGCACATATATCTGATTCCATTCTGACCAGCTTCCAGCAGGAGCCCGGCAGGCTTCTGGTGAGCTGCTCAGCATCTGGCTAAAGGGCTGCTGAGAAACCTGGCCTTCAAGATTCCCCAGTTCTGGGAAGGACATCACTGGACTGCAGCCCTACGGCTTGGGATGTGAAGGCTTCCAGGGTCTGGAGCAGACAACTGCTACAAAATCAGGGAGCCCACACCTGCCAAGGGCAGTAGCTCTGAAAGCCAGAGATGGACTGACCTAGATCCAGTGCAACCCTCCTCCACAGAGACTTCCTGGGTTTGAGAGGGGTTTGCTCCCAGGTAGGAGGAAGCAAAGTTTGAAGAATCACACATCAGCACATTTAACAGAAAGGTACTTACAAGAGGTTTCTAGAAACAATCCTTAAACAATTGTTTAAATAACTCCAAACAGTGTGACAGTACAATACACTGGTGTCTGGTTCATTTGAGATATCTTCTACTGCACATCACAATTAGCAAGGGTGTCAATCAGAACAGTCATTGTGAGAAATACTCTGGGTATAGTAAGTGATAAAGGCTAATATACTACCAACAAGGGCAGAAACCACCTTTAAAGTCATTATCTCACCTTCATCTTTGAAAATTAAAGAAGCTCAACAGTGATACAAACCTAAATAAATATTCTGATTTATCTAACTTACATTTTGTGCTCTTACATGTTA